TTTATTCTTCACTTAAGGAACTATGTAATATTAAATATCAATATTAAAATAAAATAAAAGTGATTGACTGGAGATGTAGCTTAGAGGTAGAGTGTTTCCTTGGTATATGCAAGGCCCTAGGTTTAATCCCCAGTACCACAAAAAATAAAAAATAAGATGGGTTGTGAATTTTTAATAGAATATTTAGGTAGCTACCTCAAGAATGATTTAAAAAAAAAAAAGGGAAGGATAAATGCACTCTAAAGATTAGTTTTCAATCTAATTATATTAAAAAAATAGGAGATTTAGAAAACATGCATAGTTCAGTGGGAAAGCACTAGCCCAACATGCTGCAAGATCCTGGGTTTGATCCCCAACACTGAAGGGGTGGGGGGACAGAAACAAAAACTCAAGTATGGCCAAAAGAACAGTACACTTAATAAAAATGTTCTTATGGGGGCTGGGGATGTGGCTCAAGGGGTAGCKCGCTCGCCTGGCATGCATGCGGCCCAGGTTCGATCCTCAGCACCACATACAAACAAAGCTGTTGTGTCCGCCGAAAACTAAAAAATAAATATTAAAATTTTTTAAAAAAATGTTCTTATGGGCTGGGGTTGTGGCTCAATGGTAGAGCGCTCGCTTAGCACGTGCAAGGCGCTAGGTTCGATCCTCAGCAACACATAAAAATAAATAAATAAAATAAAGATATTGTGTCCAACTACAACTAAAAAAAATACTTAAAAAAATGTTCTTATGTAATCTTTGCATATGAAAACATTTGACTATTCATGTAAAAAGGACTTTTATTGTATTTTCTTATTTGTCTTCCCCTTCCCCATCAAACTGGGAATTTCAAAGAACAGATATTTTTAATTTAAGCATCTAATACAGAGTAGGTACTCAATAAAAATAATTTTCTTGAGAGTATTTATTGCCCCCTCACAACCACCTGCAGAGGTAGAGGATGTTATTGAGTCCATTTTACAGTCAAAGATACTGAAGCTTAGGAAAGTTAAATCAAGTACTGAGTCCAGACTCAAAATTAGCATTACATTCAAACTCCATTCTCTTTACCACTATTAAAATTTTGCTATTGAAAAATTAAATGGAGGGGCTGGGCATGTGGCTCAAGTGGTAGCGCGCTCGCCTGGCATGCGTGCGGCCCAGGTTCAATCCTCAGCACCACATACAAACAAAGATGTTGTGTCCGCCAAAAACTAAAAAATAAATAAAATATTTTTTAAAAAATTAAATGGATAAAATGTACCTTAATAGTAAGCAATCTCACTGGGATCCTAAGCAGAAATAAACATTAGTTTTACAATGTTACATAATACTGGTTTTACTAATCTAGCAAACCTTTGCCATTTTGTCCTATAGGTACCAAGATCATGAAAAAATTTACAGAGATGAGTCAATGAGAAAAATAACATTGGTCAATATGGCAAACAGAAAGATCCTAAAACAACATACAGTAAGAATTTATTAACATTTTTACAAGGAAAAATAATTTTAAGAGTTTCATAAGAATTATTCTGTTACTGTCGAGAGTAGTGGTACACTCCTATAGTCCCAAGGAATATGTCCCAGCTAGGGCAACTTAGCAAGACTTTGTCTCAAAATTTTTTTAAAAAGATTATAAAAATGATTAGGGACGTAGTTCAGTAGTAGAACATCCCTGGGTTTGATTTCCAGTACCAAAAAAAAAGAATTATTTTGTTGGACCTAAGAGTCTTGATTCTTTTTTCCTTTATACAATGACTACCCAAAGAAAGAAATGCAGAAAAGTCAAAAATCCAAACTCAAGTAAGTAAAGGAAAGAGTTTTTACATAAGAAAAGGAATCACTATCTGAAAGGAAAGTTGAAATAATCCCTTTTCTAAAATAGTGACACATATGGGAAGAGGAATGCAAATTTATGCTCAAGGGAACTTAAAAAAAAAAGCCGATTTTTTCCCTTAAGAAATTAATTTTATACAGACCTGGCTTCCCTGCCTTAATCATAATATATCAACATAACCTTTTCTTGGTCAAAGAGCAGTCATTCATAAAATGGGTTCTTATTCCAGATTTGCCATTTACAAACCACAAGTTCAGTTTCATTATCTAAAATACACATTAACAATATTTGTATACATCCACCTCAGAGGGCAGTTGAGAAAGAGCATGTTAAAGTGTTCTATAAACAATAAAGTATTATTAAATGCAAAGCATGATGGCTGATATTATTGTCTTAGATCCTTATTCCAGATACTATAATCCAAAAGTCAAAATCCACCTTTTATACTTTACTCTTGTAAAGACAGAAATTCTATCCAAAAATGAGATTTATTATTCCATGTACCCATAGTTTGAGCAAAGATTAGGCCTTGTATCATTTTGACTGCATTCAAATCTTTTTTTTTTTTTTTTTTTTTTTTTGCTTCTTTCTGGATTTTCTGATAGTTTAGTTATTAGGATTGTTCTGGATAGTCCAGTCTGCAGAACTAGTTTACAAACTAAGTATTACTTTCTACAGAAAGTTTCTAAAGTAGTTTAAAACATTTTAAATGCACACCACACACACACACAAAAAAAAACATATATATATATATATATTTTTTTTTTTAATTATTTTGGAAAAAAATGGGCTAGAGCTGGAAGTACAGCTCAGTAGTAAGCACTTGTTTAGCATGCATAAGGTCCTGGATTTGATCTTCATCACAGGAAGAAAAAAGAAAACAGAAAAATCACAGGCTATATTACTGATACCCAACTGTCCTAAAATTACATTATAATCAGTTGCTTATGTGATACATGCTTCCTCTTCTGAAATATGAGGTCTGATTTTTGACCTTATACTTCAAGGAAAATAAAATCTCAAAAGAAAATATTCCCAATGAGATTGACTAAAGAAATCCTGAAGCATCATTAAAGTAGGAGTTGCAATGACCTACAATGTGAGAAAGCAGATCTACTGAGTTAACAGATGAACAGTGATCAATTCATCTTATGGACGTCCCAGCTTCTTAACCAAATGCTTTACTTGCATGTGGAAGGAATGTATTTCTAATAATCATCCTTAGAACAAAACAAGCCATAGTGTTTACCATCACTTACAAATAATTATATTAGAAGATCAAATTATGAATAAAAAGATCTAAGCTAAAAGTTACCACAGCAAAAACAAGATTCAATTGTAATTAGTTACTTTCCAACAATCAAAATCAGTTTCATGTTACTATTACCTTTCCTCTTTTTTGTTTACCTATACCTTAGCTTTATTTCACGAAGTTTCACCTAAAAAAAGAAATCGTATCTATCTAATATCATTTTGGTTTGGACAATTTTTTTTTAAATATATCAGTCTGGCACAGAGCACTTCACCATAGCTATTATTATTGTATAGACAAATACACCAAAGGAAATTTCAACCTTCAAAACTTTCAATTTTAAAGTCACTATTTAAAAAGTAACATGATTTGCCAGTACTAGAGTTTATAAGAAATAGCACTACCTTTAATAAAAGATATTTAATTTACAATTGCCATAAAATATATCATTTTAATAAATTTTAAAAACTTCTAAAAGAAACTAAAAAGAAGTTAATATATAACAAGCATATATGAGAGCTATGTGGTAGAGCACTTGCCTAAAACGCTCTCTGCACAGCATTCATAAGGCCCTAGGTTCAATCACCAGCACCACAAAAGATTTAAAAAAAAAAAAAGAAGAAGTTGTTTTAATATGGAAGACATTTCCTTAAAGGAAATATGTGAGTTTTTTTACTTATGTACAAAAATCATTTTGGATTCACTATTCATTTATACTTGGACAAAAAATACTCCCTTAAAAATTTCGCAATTCTTTGTCTAACTTTTCTTCTGAAACATATGGTTTCTTTTAATCTGCTCAAAACTCTCCTAGGCAATAAGAACTGAAACTAAAACTAATGAAAGCCCAAGCGTTAGGAACCATTCTTGGAACTAGTCACTGATCATATTTTTATTTATCTTTGTATAGGTAGCTAGCTCCTTTAGCGAAGAATTATATCGATAAACATCTCTGAATATTCAAATTCAACAATTTATTGCATGCAGTTATCAAAATGAAGCAGATGATTTGGCTAATTCAAATAAATGTTCTTACATTATTGCTCAGATCTAAAAACCCCAAATATCACAGCTTTTAAGTTATTGATTAATTTTAATTTGCAAGGAAAAAGGACAAAAGGAGCTTCATTTTCAGGTAAAATATCCTAAAACTCAAACTGTAAATACTAAAAACAAATCATTGAAAATAAATGTTACACGTAGGAAATCGTAATTCCCATGTTATTAGAAAACTCCTAGATTCTTAGGGAATTCTTTCGGTTTTTTTGTCTATGAACACAGTGGTTCAAGAAAGGGAAATATTCCCAAACCACTGCTCATTCTAACATCAAATATTAGGCAACATTAAAAATATAAATTTAGAAATATAAATTCAAACAAAATAATGTACACAGTGCCACTAAAAAACAGATCTCGAATGCATGACTATGGTTATTACTCTGGAATTGAGAATTCTCGCCAATCTAAAGACTGGGGAAGATAAATGCAGGATAAAGCATCAAAGGGAGTAAATAGCGGGGGAAGGGAGGAAAAGATCAGAGAGGATTAATTACTGCATTATTTATGGGAGGAGGTTGCTTGAAACGACAGACGAGTACCCGAAGCAAAAGGAGTGAAAAAGGTTCATTTTGCAGAGAGAATGGTCAGGGGAGTGGGAGGAGGGGCAAACTATGAACAGGAATCTTCCCGGTGTGTAAAGGGTGCGTCACTTACGTAGCGGCTTCGAGAAAAAGAAAAATTGCTCTCAGGGCAATCTTAATAAGCAAAGATGAAGAAAAGGGGAGTGACCTTCCTAGGTGTGATGGAAGAAATACAGGGTCACCTCCCAAAAGCCTGGGAAAGAGATGTTCCGAGGGTCCTAGGGATGTGCGAAAACCTCCAGGGCCGCATCCGGGATGTGAGAAATCAGGGCTGCGGTGTGGGCGTTACCTGCAGGGTCACCTCCTGAGGGTCCCAGTGCGGCCGCAGGTGTTGCAGGAGGCTCAGGGCCCCTTCCCGGCAGCGCTGTTCTTCCTGATCTTGAACCGTGACGTTCAGCTTGGGCACCTCCGGAGAGCCGGGTGGGACGTGGATGTAATTGGCCATGGCCCAGGCGACGGCGGAGACTACCACAACGACGACGGCGACGGCGACCACGAGAACGGCGGGCGCCGACAGGCTGGTGGTTCCTTCCGTCCCGGGGCGCCCTCGCGGGAGGGCTGGGGGCGCTCGAACGGACGGGAGGGCGGTAGGAGAAAGGCTGGAGGCGACACTATCGCCCACCGGGGTCTGGACAGCTGCTGAAATGAGCCCGGGCCGCTCACGGGGAAAATTCCTCTGCGATCCACCGCGGTCGACCGCGGAGGCTGCCGGGACTGGCCTGACGCTGGCGTCACGCCCGGGGCGGAGCCTCCGCTGCGTCAGGAGCCAGCTGGGTTTCTAACCTCCGGCACAATGGGATGGCTGCTCCGCCCCAGGGTCTCAAGCCGTGGAGATGGCACGAGGCCCCCAGAGCGCTGTTAGTCTGGAATACACCGGGCTTCTCCCCCCTCCCCGCCCCCGACCCCCGGCTGGAGTCGGAGCCCTGCCAAACCCTGCAAGGCTTTAAAGCTTTGGTTCCCCAGATCAGGAGGGTCATGAGGGTTTGAGGGGTGTTAGGGCTGAGGGTTTGAGGGGTGGGGACGGGGGGGAGCAAGGGACACGTCCTGAAATAACCCCAGGATAAGGCTGTGAACTTGGCCTGAGTCTAGGCAGACTGGATTAATTTGGTCGTTTTGATCCTGGAGCTGCTGTGTACTTGGGATCACATAGTTTGCGTTAACAGCTGATTTCCCATTGGCAGCGTATGGAGATCATAATATTAGGGACAGATTTAGTTAAGATATTTGGGTAAAACAACTACAACATTTAAAGTGTTATATATAGTGTCAGATGTTTGACCATACTGAGAGTTATTCAAAGTCTGGAAGAACAGGTTATTGTCTGGGATGAAGATGAAAGGGATGGAAGGAAAATTAGTTTTGAGATTCAGCAACTCTTAAGACTGTCGTGGCATCCCTGAGTGGGTCCTGAAAGCTCACAGAATGCTACCATGAAACCTTTAGTGTCAGTATCATTCAACAGCTATATCTCCTGGTAAAGGAACGCTGGAAACTGGATAATCTACAAGTAATGTGAAAGGACTTACTAGTTTTATTTTACGATGGAATAAAGTAGACTAGGATTTGATTTCAGACTTTGACCTTAGTTCACAGTGAATACATTTGTTAGTAGTAAATTAAACCCCTAACTGGACTCAATTACCATTCAAAATGTTTATCTCATTGGCAAAAATTTATATTCTGATTGTCAAAAAACGAACCTACTTACCTTCGTAATTCACAAAACAAATACTTCAAGGATAACATTAAACTTCCTAAACTAAAAAAAGAGGAGATATGGAGTTGTACAATAATGGTAGGGAAGTTGGTTCAACGTTTTCCCTACTTAGGCATTTTTTTTAATCACATGCTATGTGTGGATGGCCTTGGGATGAATCCCCAACACAAAAAAGAAAACAAAATTATGTACTCCAGGGAATACTAGATTATGCATTCCTTCCAATTAGGGGGAAATAACATCTAATACTTCCAAAATTTGAACTATTAGGTGTCTATGAATAAAACTAACAAGGTATAAGACATTTAAAGATGTAATTATATTAATGGAAAAATGAACCATATTCATAAATAAAATAATTATTACAAAGATCTCAGTTCTCCCTGAACTAATCAATACATACAATGCAATGGCAGTTAAAATCTCAACAAGATTTTTCACGGAACTTGTTAAGATGACATTGAAATTCATACCAAAACTTAAGGTCAAAGAAATGCTTCCACAGTTTTTTGCAGAATGCACATAATGTTGGAGATGAAGTTGGAAAGACCTGTCTTACCAGGACTTATTATATAATTGGTTTAGGAATGGATAAATACACTAGTATGGACAAAGATGCCAGGGAAAAAATCCACATACCTATAAGAATTTTTTTTATATGAAGAACATAATGTTAAAAATTAAAAAGATGGGGACTGGGGATATAGCTTACTTGGTAGAGTGCTTGCCTTGCATGCATAAGGCCCTGGGTTCAATCTAGCACCACAAAATTGCAGCAACTTGTGAGGCTGAGGCAGGAAGATCACAGGTTCCAGGTCAACCTGGACAACTTATTTAGAACCAAAGAAACCACAAAATTAAATAACAAGTTATAAAAAGAGAAGATAATTTCAATGTTTATGATCAAAGATGTATTTATATTCAAAATACTCGAAAATAAGAAAGTCAAACCACTGTTAAAAAAAACAGGCAAAGAATATCAGTACTCAGAAGAGGAACCCAAATATCCAATAAGCTTATGAAGATGTATCTCCCTAATAACCAAGGCAATATAAATCAAAACAATGGGGGGCTGGAAGTATAGCTTGATAGAGCACTTGCCTAAAACAGCAGTGAGATACCATTTTGTACCCATTGGATTGGAAAAAAAATTTGAAGTCTGCAGTGCCAAGTGGACTTTTTTTAATTATTATTTTAAAAAGCAATGAAATTAGGCATTGTGGCACATATCTATATCATCAGCTATAGGAAATTGAGGGAGGAGGATCACCAATTTGAGGCCTACCCGGGCAACTTAGTGAGACCCTGCCTCAAAATAAAAAATAGAAAGGACTGGGGTTGTAGCTCTGTGATAATGTGCTCATGGTTTCAATCCCTGGTATCAGAAAAATAAACAAACTTTGAAAAATAATTTAGCAATATTTAATACCAATGATGATAAGCATCTTTTTCTACCTAACAATTTCAATTCCAGGTAAATACTAAAATCCCACACATATATCTGAAAACATGTGTACAAGAATGTTCACGGCAATATTAAGGAGTTTAAGAACTGGCAACAACAATCTGTCCCTCCGTATAGAAATGACTGGATGATGGGTAAATCCATAGATAGATCCTACAGCAAAATAAAGATGGCAGCTAGAACATATATGTCTGCTTATGCATATATTCAGGAAATAACAGGGATGATACAAGTCAGACTCAAGAAGTAGTTTTGGGGACTCACAAGTACTTCTTGTTAGTTGGCAAAGTGTTCACGTCTCTGTTTTTATTTCTACTCTGCTTCTGAGGTTTTTTCCTTCATGATTTCTGCCTACTGGTTTCTCTCCATGTGTCTTTTCACTGAAATCTAACTCAAAAGTCATCCCTACTGGCCCCTCCCATTGCTTCCCTTATCAAAACAACCAGTTTTATATTTTACGTATCACTTATCACAATACAAGTTGTCTTGAAATCAATGTGTTCACCTTTTTTAGTGTTCAGCTTTTATACTAGAATGGTGGCCCCAAGAGAGCAGAGTTACAGCTTATCTTATCTATTGTCACATTTCCACTGCCTAGAATAGTGCCTAGGATATAAAAGATACCCAATAAATAAATGCATAAGCTAACCTAATTAGTTGTTGAAACTCTGCTAGTCTCCCAGAAGAATATCCCTCAGCCAGAGGTTGTATTAGCTGATCACCATAGAGTATTCTATAGTGAAATCTTCTGTTGACCAGCTTGTTAGTCTAACAGGCTGCCACTGGCCAGCCCGTTAGTTATATTTGGGTTTAGAACAAATCTTAGCTTCAGGATGTCAATAAAATTATTTAGTAGCTTGCAACACGTATCTAGAAGATGATTATAAAAATATAACATTATAATGAAGTATCCAATACATTTTTGTGTCTTTCCTGCATTTAACATGATATTGGGATCCTCCATTATCTAGAATGGCTTGCCTCTTATGTGCTTCTTGAAGTCCTACACATTCCTCTTCACTTAAACCCACAGCAGTCTTCTTCATAGAGCTAATATGGATTTTCCTAGTGCAAACTTATTTCCCCCTTTTAGTTACTTATTGTTTTTCTTTTTATGGTGCTGGGGATTGAACCCCAGTGCTCTGCCCATGCTAGGCCAAGGCTCTACCACTGACCCACATTCCCAACTCTACTTCTCCCTTTAATACATCCGTTAAAATGCCTAAAAATGGCTGCCTTATTACACCTAGATTGTGCATTTAAGTCATAATAATTATACCACATAGAAGGGACCAGAAAAATAATTTATAACTTGTTACATAATAAACATTTTATATGAAGGAATGAAAAGATCCCTGAATATAAATCTGGGGGCTCTGGTCATAAAGGTTTTAATTATAACTGTGTTAGATTTAGTTTCCAGAGTAACCATATAAAGAATTTGCAGAAGAAAAGAGTCTATGAAATAAAATTACTTAGGTATATCTGATAGCTAGATCATTACCCAATTAAAAACATGTCTAAAATGAAATCAATCCTGTATATCTAACAGAAAATTAGTTAGTGTCATAGTATAATAAACTGAAATTTAAGAATTCATAACATCAGTAATTGCAGACATCCAAGAACAAGAAAGTTCTGCCCACCACCACCCCCCAAAAAAAAGAAAGAAAAAGGAAGAATTCCTAAGTGTTTAGTTTTCAGAGACACTATATCAAAATGAGGCTGCACCTGTTCTATTCTTTACAACTTTAAGATAGCCTAAGGGAACTGGTTGTCTGTAAAACTACTGCAACAACCTCATTAAACACCTAAGAGAGGCCATGCTACTTCTTGTATGTGTGCTCAGTTTTAAGACCTAATAAATATTTAACTGTATAATAAGGTGATCAGTATATGTTCTATCTTGCCTCCTTTTCCTGTTCTGAGAATTAGATTATAAATCTATTCCATACAATCRATCACCATCTGAGAGCAGGAATTTTGTCATTTTCTTGTCTATATTCTCCATGATCTTAAGTCAGTGTTCTTGTGATTATAAATCACAATTTGGGGCTTAATTAACAAAAAACATAAGCAATTCCTAATTTTCATCATCTAAAATATACATGGAGAACAAATTTTTTTAAAAGATCATTGAAAGATGTTGTGTCTGCCGAGAACTAAAAAATAAATATTAAAAATTCAAAAAAAAAAAAAAAAGATCATTGAATGGATAATGAAAGGGGATGTACCTTACCAAAAGTCAGATCACATTTTAAAGCCATAAATTATGGGGTTGGCAGCAAAAGAAACAGATCAATACATAAGAAAGATCCAATAAAAAGAATAATTTTTATTACTTAATATGTAATAAGGTAACAGAGTTTGCCTATGTTGCTCAGGCTGGATGAACTCCGGGGCTCAAGTGATCCTCCTGCCTCATTTTGCTGGGACTACAGGTGTATGCCACTGTACCTGGTTCATAAAGGTAATTTGGGCGTGGGGGGAGAGTATTGGAATTTGAAGCCAGGGGCACTCAGCCACTCAGCTGCATTCCCAGCCATTTTTATTTTCTGTTTTAAGATAGGGTCTCACTAGTTGCTGAGAACTTTACTTCCTGAGGTT